GTGTTAATTCTACACCTTTTTAATAGCTGTAGTATTTGCTGTTTTTGTGAGGTCTGTAAATCATAGAATCAGTTACATATGGATGTGTAAAAACAAACAAAACTTGAGAGCAATGTTCAAGAGCCTCATACCAGTGTGGACACGCTCTCTCCTGTTGAGAGTGGCTGGGTAGCGTTCCTTCTGTAAATGCCAGGAATACTGCTCTAAGGCCTGCAACAGTCTCTTCATATCATAGGATAGCTTGGGATGGAAGGGACCTTGAAGATCATGGAGTTCCAATCCCCTGCCTGGAACAAAATATTAACACAGAATGGCTCAGCATCAGTCTCACTGCTTGGAAGACCCAGTTTTTTCTTGTACCGCTATATGGAGCTAGCTCATGTCTGAATAGTTTCAGGCAGTTTTGACTTTTTGGGTTGGTTCTGTCTTTTAAAGGTGAGGAATAATAATAATAGGTTCTAAAGCTCTGAAAATCTGTAAGCTACAAAGTACTTAACTGAATTTTACAGGTAGAGAGAGCAGGGCACAGAGCTCAAGTATGAATTTATGCGGGACTGTGCAGTGGAGACCAGCCTTAAATTTCTGGAGCTTTAAGGCCAGTGTCTCAGGCAGCCTCAGGCTGCCTGTCTCATAGCAGGATGTTAGACTACTAACCTTTTGGTAGAACTACCTCACCTCTGTGGGCTGCAGTCAAATCATCCCGCACCCCAGGCAACCCCTGGCCTTTTCACTTGTTTGTTGAATGGCCTGAAAAACATTCCTTGCCAGGCAGTTAAAAAAAAAAAAAAAGTTTCCAGCACAGCAAGTGCAGCAATCTTATCCCTGGCTTTTGCCCCCATGACTCGTTCATCTTTATTTCCTAATTTGGTCTGTAATTACATTAGTTTTGTTTTGTTTTTAACAGCACGTTGGTCATCTTGCTGTACAACTCCAGGTGGAAATGAAGCTCTTGGTTTTGCTGTGAGAGGAGTAGCTGGTTCTGTACCCACACTTCTGGACCTGACATCTCTTAGTTCGTAATGATAAAGGTACTGTGTCTTATCCCTGTTGCCTACCTATTTATTTTAGAGGAGAGTTGATGTGCACTCATTCTGCAGTAAAATACAATTTTATTTTGATTTAATCAATGAAGACGGGGTCCATGCTAAGTCCAGATATTGCTCTCTAAGCAGCTTTTCCGTCTGTGCAGAGGTTATGGTCTACTCATGCCTGATATGAATTCTGATAGAGGATGAGTATTTGTCCTTTCTAGTTTATTCTTTTTTGCTCCCAATGCTTTTCTCTTATAGCTTAAGAAATTTGAAATGGAAGAAATGATTTGGTATAGTCATGTTTTCAAAACAAATATCATCTGACGGTAATCAGCGTCACTGAACAAAGCAGCCAGAAAAACAACAGTCCTGTCACTTCTTAGTTGATGCAAACATGCTGTCTGTAAGTTAGAACTAATGCAAAGTTAAGTAGGGCAGAAATAAGTTAAGGAACAGATAAATGCAAGAAAGGGACTCTTCAGTGACTTCTGGAGATTCAGTTATCATCTTCTCTTACGTGGCTTCTGTGCCTTACAGTAGCTGTTATCAGTAGTTCAGGAAGTGAGCTGCTGAGGTGCGGATAAAATGTAGTACTGCTGATAAGGAAGTGAAATGATTGAAATGCCTGGTGTAGTGCTAGATAAGATGAAATGCCTAGTATATCACACAAGCAGAATTCTGGCATGATCCAGTGAGGCTGTACAGCCTAGAAGGCTTTAGGCTACTTGGGTGACCACCGTACAATCAAAACAAAATGGGAACTTTATATCAAGAAACCTCTCTGCACAGATCTCTTCGTTTAAGCATGGGAGGATTTTGTGTTTCTGATCACATCAAGAGGTTTACGGTAAGTTTTGTTGCACCCCTAGTTTGAAAGTAGAAAGTGACTGGATTTGACAGTATTGGCTACTCTGCCTTCTGTAAAATGCTGTGTGTTAGACATTCTTAGCCACTTTGTGCAGTCTTCTTGCTTGCAAAGCACCTGCTGATGTTGAGGAAGTGCTTCTGGAATGAGTAGTGCAGGCTTTGCCTTTCTAAAGAAATACATTTCTGGGAGTGCCTTGACACGTTAAAACTTTTAATCCAATGATGTGTTTGTATTATAGGATGCCAGACTGACATTCAGATTATATGGAGGTCAGTTGTTGCAACTTTTTGCTTTAGTAATCATAATCTGAGAATTATAAGACAATTAATCTATTGTACAGGCTTACACAGGGTGATTTCATTAGAGCCCAAGTTCTGCATCAGGCCATTTAAGCTGATAGTAGAAGCAGTGCAGTCAACTGGAGTGCTGTGTGCTCGACACCACAAATGTGTGTTCTGTGGTAGGATGTAGAAGTTTTGATATTGGCACACTACTGTGCTGAGGGTCTGAGGAAGTGAAGTGAGTCTGGCTCCAAAAAAATACTGCTTATTGACAGTCTACTAACGCTGCAAAAAGAGACAGATATAGAGACAGTACTTACGGAACAGAGAATAGTAATCTACTTTTCCACCACTTTAAGCTATCCATCAAACAACAGTGTTGAATGCTATCTGTAGAGTTAGGTTTCAGTTGCTAGAGATGCAGGGAGTCTGGGGAAAACAATGCTTGTATTTCCTTCCATTTGCATGTTATTCTACTGCTTAAAAATTTTGAGCCTTTACCATCCAGACAGAAGCAGAAACATGAACATAAGCAAACTTAAAAAGAATGCCATGTGATTCTGTGATAACAATGTTCAGTTAATGTTTGCTTTTTTTTTTTTTTAAGAAGCTACACTGTCATGCACAACAAGCATTGTAACAGTTTGTGGGTTTTGTTTGTTTGCTTTTTGAAGAGGCCATTCTTTTGAAGAAGGGATTGTGTCATAGGTCTTACTTGATAATGGGTTTAATGGACTTTATAAAGAGCTTATTTGTAATCATCTTCATTCCATAATGAGTCATTAGACTGGCTGAACTGAATAAGTTCTGGTACAGTTGGAGAAATGGACAGATTTTCTTCGAATTTCAACAGATTGAATTTTATTCCATTCTTTCAATGTAATTTTACGTTGTGAATCTAATATGGCCAACACTTCAATGTGATTTTTATCATATTGTTTGAATTTATTACATAAGAATTTATTACATGAGTAAATAGGGTAGCTCAGAAGGCTAGATGTACATCGTATGAAAAGATTTATTCATTTATTGTCTATTTATGGCAGCAGAAAAGGAAAAAAAGATGTTTTAATTGAATACACTAATCAGCTGTTCTTCATATTGAAAGATAATGTCGTATTAAAATTGCTGGTATTGAGCTTCTTACTAAAGACGAGTCTTAACCTGAAATATGTGCTTGTGAATTTCTTTTAATTGCCCTTGTTTTGAACAATTTGTAGAATCAAGACAAACTTCCGGACAATTAATTTTTGCTTGTTCCTGTGGAAATGAAAATAAAACGTATTCCAGGAAGAATTATAGGAATTGGCTTTAGAACCATCAAAACAGCTTATCCAGGGATTTTTTTGGACTAGTCACGTTTCAGGAAAAAATGATCAATACTGCAGTTATCTGTTTACGTGTTGTTCTGTGGCTTGGCTCTGCAGCCCAGGATTAGTGTTTCTCAGTAACACGAAGGTTGTGCTGAGGTTCAGAATATCTCATTTCTCTGTAATTCTTCTGTTGGGTGACTGAGTAACACTTTCATATTCAATGGTTCAGTTCCCCTTTCTTTAAAACTGGTGATAATGATAATTCCCTTCTGAAAAAGGGAAGGTCTAGAGCTAGAAACTGTCTTAGATTTAGTTTGATTTTATAATTGGTTTTCCTTGTCCTCAATGAGCTGAGAGTCAGAAGTCACTTGATCTTGGTTGTCTTGCATTGGATTATCTCAGACCATCATACCAAACTCATTATGATTATCAATTGGAAAATTATTCTTTATGTTCACAAAGCTAATCATTCATTTTTACAAAACAGTATGAAAGGAAAGATGCTTTTGAAGAATACGACCAGCAGAGAAGCACATAAGATCAAATAGTGTCTTGGACCATGCATGCAGCTTTTACTAAAATTGGTAAGATCTGCTTTAATCCAGAAACTCGCTATTAAGCGTAGTGAGATCTCTCTTCTGCTGCATGGAGTAGCAGCTTGTAGGTTGGGTCTGAATCTGTTCCGGCAGGAGCTAGTGCATGTATGTATTGTTTTGATTTTACTAGTTGCAACATGGAACCTGTTGTTTGTTTGTTTGTTGTCTCTTTCTGGCTTAGACTTGATGATCTGCTCGCTTGCACTGAAGTGGCTGACTCGGTTGGTCCTGGTTACAGAAGGATTTGTAATGATAGTTAACTCTGAAAACTGTGATAGTAGTATTTAGAGATGGCTTGAAAACTTGTGTTATTGCTCAGATTTACGGTGGAAGATATTTCCTGTAGCTTATGCTTAAGCAGTAAGACAAAGGATTTGGCTTCTGAAATGAATCCAACTTTTTGTTAGGATAGATGGTGAAAAGTGTATTCTGACACGTCTGAAGACAAAGTTGCCTCTTGAAGATATTTTGCACATCTGTTACAAATGCTGCATTCTGTGTATACTGTTTTTAGCTGGACATATAAACTTTTACCTAAAGGAATATGAGTGGCTTGTGGGTATTTGATTCACTGGGAAGAGTTTGTAAAACCACCAGCTTTTGTGCTCGAGTTCCCTTACTCTGACTACTTTTTTGAAGCAGAGCTTGTCTTGAGGCTAAGCCTGAACTGATGTAGTTATTCCTGTGTTTGAATGACGTCAAACCAAAATGTCAGAGAGATCTGAATCAGCAGGTGAATATAGCACATAACAGGCTTCATTATAGGAGAGATGACTATTTAGTCGATCTTAAATTTCCTTACCGTGGTATTCTGGTTATTATTGGAGACTGGCAGTGTCAACAAGTGCTCTTTTTAATAAATGAGTAAATTCCTCTGCTAGGTTTCTGGTTTAGATTTTCACCAAAAACAACATTAAAAAAACATTATTACTAAGTGTCTTATTTTCAGCTGGGATGAAATTATTTTCTTCAGAGTGTGTGGTATGATGCTATGTTTTGGTTCTGGGAGGAAAACAGTTTTGACAGCACACTGATGTGTATAATGGCTGCTGAGCAGTGTTGTACAAAGCTGAGGCCATTCTCAGGAAAGGGCCCAAGGAGCTGGGAGGGGAACAGAATTAGGAAAATTGATTTAAACTGGCTGTAGGGATATGATATCATATGATATCCATGTGAAGGAGTTTTGAAGGAAGTGGGAGTTCATGACTCTCTGTCTGTTCGAGGGCATCAGTCAGGGGCTGAGCATCAGTCAGGGGCTGCTGAGCAATTGCTTGTGCATCACTTGTTGTATAGATGTGTGTGCATTTGTATATATAGTCATAACTATTATCCTTCTCTATATCTTAGTAAATGTTTTTGTCTCAATCCATGAGTTCTACTTCGTTGTTCTTCTGTTCTTTTTATTTTTATTTTTTTGTTTATTTTGGAAAAAGGATGGGAATGAGCAAATGACTGTGCGTTGCTGAGCCATCTGCTGAGTTAAACCACAACAGTAAGGAGCGCTGAGCACAGTACATGATGTTTGCTGTACTGCAGTGATAACTGTTGGATGGAAATATGGAAAGAAAGAATTCAGTAACTGAGACTTGAGATTGCACAAGATGTGAAACAACTGCACTAACTTTTGGGAGAATTTTCCAAAAGTATGTGTTGCAGTTCAAGTCCAGCCAAATGGTTTGTGGGCAGATGGAGACTGTTGTAGGTGAAGTTGCCTCTGATGTGGCTGCTCACGAACACATGATTCACTTCATTCCAGTGCAGTTTGATGTATGATGTGCTTGTGTGCTTTGCTTTTCCAACACTTAAACCAGCAAGTCCAATGTGAATGTGCTCAAGGTGATCATGCTTCATTCAATAACCATGAAGGGCTGAAGAGTAGCTGTGGAATCAGGAATCAGTATTACTGCATTTTAACTTTGGAAAAGTGAGTGTAGAAGCAAAAGAAAAAAAAATCAGATACATTCTTGCAGCGGTCAGCACTTGCGATATTCTTGGAAATTATTGCAAGTTAGCTAGCTAGTGCAGTTGTATGCATTCTTCTCATAATCTTTCAAATTTGAATCTAAAAAAAAGAAATTTCCAAAGTAGGAAGGAAACAAGATAACAAGGCAGTGCCATTTGGTGATTTCCATCTTTTCTAACACAAGCAGGCTACTTGTAAAGCAGAGACTTCGAGGGATGTGACTGGAAGTCAGTGCTATTCCAAGTCAGCTAGAATATTTGTGATTTTACTGTGCTTTGGAGTAAATTCTGGGTTATGCATGGTCATCCTCTGAAAAATTGACTGTCTAGAAATAACTGTTTTTTGTACAACAGATCTGAAAGGCCTCATCTCATCACATCAGTGGCAAGGATTTCCTTTTGCTGTTTTTATTCTTATTTGCCTTACTGTGCAACCAAGACTTACTCTTATGTGTTGCAGTGGATCCCAGCTGACTTTAAATTACTTGTACCTGAACAAATTGCCATAGATACAACAGCTTCCGGTCAGTTTAAAAGATGTCTTAAAGTTCTCTGCTGAGCTCCTAGTGTAGATGAGAAAGCATCTTGAAAATGAGAGGCAAAGCAGTTTAGTAGCAGATGGCCTCAGGCTTTACTGGGAACTGACAGCATTTGATGTAAAATCACTGAAATTCAGAGAAAGCAGAATCAGCAGCAGGACTTCTCTGTTCAGTTTCCAGAGAGCTCTTTGCTGGAGGTTGTGGAGGGATGGGAAACTTTACCTGTGGCAGCCTTCTGGTCCAGGCTGGTAAATTGTTTTAGTAACTGTTTGGATAAGAAAGAAAAGAATGAAAATTAAAAGCAGTGAGACAGCTTCTTAATGCAGTTTCTGTGGGCATCAGACTCGATGGTAAAAGAGGTCACGACTCAGGGTCAGTTGAATAAATGCGAACAGGCAACAGGTGCTCTCTTGGCCTCATGAGAGGAAAGTAACCTGAAGGAAGAATGCAAGGGGTCTTGTTAAGCCATGTGGGTGAGTGATAAACACTGTTATCTAGAAATCCTTTTACTTTGATGTAAATTAAATGTCATAATTTTATCTGTACAGCTATCTGCTGTCAGCTGTTTGACGGGGATGCATTAAGATACTCTACATGATCTCAAGATCATTAACGTGTCCTTAGCTGTGCCACTGCTTATGGGCGTTATGACTTACTGTGTTAACAGTTCTCTGTCACTAAACATGCATAAAAAGGAAAAAGAAAGTTTATATAATGAATGTTCATACTAAGTTGAGGTGATACTATAGTAAAGTTGAACTTTTGCCCGCTAGGCAGTATTTAAATGTGTCATTCTAGGGTCAGATGGGGAGACTGCTAGTGCTTTATAGACACTTGTACTGTGCAAGTGGATTTCAACCAACAGCTGACATGTATAATACGTTAAATGTCAGGTTCTTGGCCTTTTAAAGCCATTGTGGTCCAGTTCTTAGTACGTCACCAAACATGACAGATGGAGATCTTTTGTCTGATCTCATCAGGAAACCAAACTATTTCACTAGACAGGCTTATCCAAACTGTATGGCATATTTTGACCTTGGAAGTTATTCCTTTATATTAAGTTGAAGCCTGTTTCAGTACTTGTCATTTGTCACGAGAATTGGAATCTTACCGAACCATTGCTCTGTGGCTGTGATCTACTGCTTTTCATGTGTCAAGGAAATGAACTGTTTGTGGGAAGTTACTCACTGGTGTACATCTTAATTTTGCAGAAGTTTATGTGTCTTAAAGTTCAGCTAACTCTTCATTTCCTCGGGAGAATTCAGTGTGTGTCCATGAGCAGCAGCAACTAGATATGGGTTAAGTAGGTTTTCAGCATAACTTGAAAAAGTTGCCTGATGGCCACTGAAAATGTAAAGGATATTTATTAGTATTTTTTTTCCTGAGTAATATTCAGTAGCTGTAGCCAAATTTTGAATTCGCTGTCTTTTGCTTTTTTTATAGGGTTGTTTACCAAACGTTTACCACATTTGGTTCTTCATCTTCTTAGAACTCTGAATTGCAACCTTTACAAACTTCTCTTCAAGTCCCAAAGTCTCTATAAAGCTTTGGCTTTGTTTAGGCTTTTTAATTTATTATTATTTTTTTTTTCGTTTACCTGCATATTTTTAGTCATCTCCACTTATACCATGTTACTGGAAGCAATGCAAAATCTAATGAGATGATCTGTTTGAGCAGCTGGTTTTAACCTCTATGACATTTCTTGTTTGGGATATAAGCCTCTGGTATTACTTTAGTACGTGCTGTAGATTTTTTTTTTTTTTCCCCCCATTCACTTCGTCTTTGTTCCTATTGCAAATGTTTTGGTTTTTTTTTTTCATTCCTTTGGGTCAGAGCTAGCAAAGAGGGATCATAGCTGAACTGCTGTATTGTAGATTCTTAAACCATTTGTTATGTTGAATGCAAATGTTTCTCTTGACTCCTGACATCTGTCTTTGACAACTGGGAGTGTGTGTGGGACTGAAGCCAAAGTGGAATAAACTCTCATTTCCCTCTTGAGAATAGAAGATTCTTTGGCATCATCAGTTGAAGGTCACTTGTAGTTCTCATTCTCCAGAATTTGTGTTCCTTTCTTCGTGCACTCCAGAGATACTTGATAGCCTGGGGATGTTTTCAAGATATCCTGAAATATTTTAAAGGTATCCCAGAAGTTCAGTTCAGCTCTTGATGGAATGAAGGTAGCTGCCATCTTTTGTTCACTTGTTTGCTTCTTTCCTAATAATGGGAGAAAAAATTATAAGAAGCATTATTCCGAGTTTACATTCAGACTGTGATGTGGCTCAGCAGATTGCTTAGCCAGTGCCTGACATGGGGTGCCTGAGCAGAGCTCTGCTATGCAGTGTTCCTGTGTTAATTGCTGTTAGTTATTACTCATAGAACATTTCACATTCTTCAGATGTAATTTGGAAAGCGTAGGACATGAAACAATTTCTGTAGTAGTGTCTGAGTAAAAATGTCATTACATGCAATAGGTTCTTAAGAAGGGGTGAATTTCGTAGGTTAGTGCCTTTCTTAGAGTAAAGACACTTCTTCTGTGTGTGGTATAAGGATGGGTACATCGTGATCTGCAGTGTGTGAGTTAGCATTAAAAGACTTGAGTCTGTCAGTGAAACAATGTGCTCTCTTTGAGCTGCTCCAGTAAGATGTGAATGCTGGACATTAAATGTTCTGAACAAAAATTACCTTCTGTTGTAATTCACAGCAAAAAGAATGAAAGATTCTTGCCTGTATTTAAGCGTATTGTCATCCTGTAGTGGAAATGCTAAGTCATGGCCTGAAGCAGTGATTGAGCACCTGGTGGGAAGGCAGGGCCAACCCAGAGGAGGTCAGGTGCATGCAATGTACCTGAGTGATTGGAAGGGGGTGAAGCCAGGGTGCGCCCCTTCCCAGACCTCATTTAAGGATTGGCAGTGGAGATGAGGGTGTTTTGCTGGAGATCTCTGCCTACCTGAGGCCTTCAAAAGGTAAGCAGCTCCTTTCCTTCATGTCTGTATCCATGGCTGCTGCATTTGGGCTCACTCTCATTTGTTGTAGCTGAAGACTTTGCCACCCTGCTGTTATCATCCAATAGCAGCATTACACATCCCTAAGAGAACACAATCAGATCCATTTAGAACAGTTTTTCTTTGTGTTTAACAGCTATTAAAAAGTTGGGAGAACAAAGGAAAAAGTTAAGCATCAGTCACAAAGTGACTTTAAATTTCTCACTATGGACCAACTGATGTTTCCTTTTTCTTTGTCCATCACCCCACCCATAATTTTGCGGGTGCTTATTCAACACTCCTTACATCCTGCTATGTACCTACCTGTAGGTTGAACAGCTGCATCTGAATAGGAGTCAGCTTTGGCTGTATCTTCTCTGTGTGTGTGTCAGAGAATGCTAGCCAGGAGTATTTTCTTACAGAAGTGGCAAGAACTAAATACTTTCATGAAAGGGTAATTTTAATATTGTTACTACTGACTCTGTAGTGTGTAGAGAAAGGACTCTAATTTCTATAATGTCTCATCTCATACAGCAAATTCACTTAAAAGATTATGATTTCTTCCCGTATGCTTATTCTGAAAAATGAAAGGGATTGGAGACAGAGTTGCTCTGTATTGCAAGGCATTTGGAAGTATGGGGATTGCACAAGTATGGAATGACTACTTTTCTGTTCTCTAGGGAATGTTGTAGACACACTAACGTAATTTAGAAGTGAAGGAAGTCTGTAATAAGTCCATAAAATATCTAATTTAGTAATTTTATTGGACTTGCTGTGTGTCCTCGTGAAGATTTTTTGCTTGGTTCACTTTCACAGCCTGGGAGAAAGATAGATATAATTTTAGAAGTTTCAGTTGACAAAGACGTGCTGGTGCTAGATACGTATTTCAGATCCTTGTCATTGTACTCTATTTTTAAATTCAAGTGCCAGCCAACCTAACAAGCACAGCTTGTGTCTCTGCTGGGCGTCCTATGTCTGTGCTGGAAAGCAGAACTCTTCCAACCCTTAGCACAAGACCACCACACTTACTTCAGTATTTGTTGTATTTAATGAGAAGAAATGCTCCAGCAAATTCTTTTCTATATCACAGAACTAAAACTGGTCATGAAAACAGTCCTTCTCTGTACAGAGATCTGCTTAGGCATTGGCAATTGCTAAGATGCTTGCCTATCGGCAGCCACTTGAGAAAGAATTTTAAATGGTCTTGTGACGTCAAGGAGGCCCAAGAAAATACAGCCTGGTGCCAAATTACCTCCAACACTGAGAGCATGCAGTAAGAAATAGATAACGCACAAGTAAATCATTTGTGCAATAGCTATCTAATGATATGCTCTAGCAACTCCAATAAGTGAGATTGTCTGGTGTAGGCATAGCTAAAGAAGATTAACTTTCAGGCCCTCGTTTTCTAATTTATGATTAATGAAAAGCCAGCCTAATCTATCTGACATCCTGCTGTCTGGACAGAATGTCTGCGGGTAGCTTGGACACAGCAGAGGGAAATGCCTTGACCAAGTTACAGCCTATAAAAGTGAACAATTTAAGTATAATGGATAAAAAACTGAATCTATTGAATGAGAAGATGGACAGACTGTTGCATTTCCAAGAAGACCTGACAGGCAAACTGCAACGAGTTAAAGCTATTGAGGATATAGAAAAGGGCATTAACAAGCTAACGGTATCCAGAGAAGACCTCGATGAGACAGATCAAATGGGAAAAGGCCTAAAGCTATCAGACAGTCCTCACCAGACCGATATGGACAGCATATGCTCAGAAGTGTTGAAATTGATGAAAGTTGCTCAGCTTGATGCCTCGAAGCACAAGGAGAGACTGGCAAAGATAGAGGGAAGGATTAATACACTGGATGAAGTGATTACATTAGTGGGAGAAGTATTAAAAAATTCTAAAGTAGTGGATTTTATTCTCAAAGGCATTGTGCCCTGGAAGAAGGAGAGTCTACTGGAAAGCCCTGTTGAGGTTGGTTTTCTACTACTGCTCTTGATAAAGTTATTTGTGAAGTAGCAAGTCTCTCCTGCTGATTTTTTTATTTTTTTTTGCATAACATTTATAATTCAGGTTTTCCTTTAAGAATTGCTATTGCATGTTACTGCCACGACCTCTAAATTATAAGCATTTTGTGGCAGAGACCTAGTCTTAAAATGTGCCTTAAAATGTCTAGAGTCCTCAGAGTGTGCCAGGCAATCCTGTAACAGGTATGAAAAAGATTGCTACTGTAAAAGATTCAGCTTCTAAGAGTGCCTGAAGATCAGCAGTGTCATTCACATTGGTGACAGAGATGAGGTTCCAGTGTAAGGTAGGAGTAATGTACCGGGAATTGTTTACTGAAGGAAGCTGCTTCTATTTTTCTTGATCAATCATGAACTCTGAACACAATAAAAGTTTTGAAAATCTATGCTGACTTTTGTTTATATGTCTGAGCAGCTCTGTGTGCTTTCAGATACTGAAGTTAGCTATATCTTTATGATAAACCTGTGACTTCATGAACTATATTGACGTTGTTCACTCCTCAAATCAAGTAGTTGTTGTGGTTTTGCATGCACAGTTTCCGTCAGTTCATAGATAGTGATTCCAAAGCATTTCCTAATTATCAAGAACAGTGAGGAAGGAACAGGTAAGATTGATATATAGTTGGTTTGGTATTTGGAACTGTTTGAGCTTGATTTCTGAGAGTTAAGTATTTAGATTTAGTTTTGGGAGTTGAGTCTTCATGATGACTTGTGTTCTGTTATTGGTCCCCCCAAAAAAGTGTGAGGGAGAACTCCATGAGTTGAAATATTTGTTCATTCCAAGAGTTTCCTACACACCTGTGTAGAGATGTCTTTACAGTAAGAACAATGTAGTACAAATGTCAGTGTGCATTTCTACCTTGATCCAAATATTATTTTGTCAAATCTGTAACGTGTATTGGTAGATGATACACCTGAACTATTATAAAACCAGGGCAGCGTTAGATGCTAGCATACCTTCTCAGTCTTTGAGAATTCTCCTGATATCCCTTTTTAAGTGCCGGAAGATGAAAAGTGAACTGGACTGTATGGAGACAGAAGGATTTATGAAGAGATTCCATTAGTGTTGATACCAATAAATGATGACCTGCATTGTTACAAGTTACTGCCTGCCATCCCTGTGGAAGGCCTGGAGCCAGGCACCCTCCTTGATGAGGCTTACATGTAGAACTGAACTGACTGCAGAATATAGTAGTGGCCAGGAGAAAATGAATATAAAGATTTCATTGCCAAATTGTCAAGTTTCTAAGTGAACAGTAAGAAGGGATATAGATAACTGCAATTAGAGCAGCACTGGAGGAACCTTTCCCATGGGCTTGTAGCGTGCAGTCAGGATCAGTCGTTAGTTAGCTACTGGGTACTGCCTCATCAATGTTGGTGAGAAAGAAGGTCTGAGGTCATAAATTCATTGAAGGTATATGAATGGGATGAGAGGTGAATTGACCTGCTCTTGGTGACCTGATGAACTGGTGTAGAGCGGAGGTCTCCATCCCAGGCTTTACCTACTGCCTTGGGTGAGGAACTCACAGTGTGTATCGGGCAAGTGAACTGCTACGGGGCTAACTCTGCTTATGCTGAAGTACCATAGCTGTTCTTCTTTCTTGTTACTGGAAAGTTTTTGAAATTGAAGCATGAGATTAGTTGTAAGAACTTAAGATATGTCTGTGCTTTGATCACAGGCTGCTGAGTAGTGTGATATTTGAACTAGTTTTAAATTAGGTAGTAAATGTACGTGACTTAGCTGGAGTAATGTGGAGGAAAGCGTGGGTGAGTTTAAAAATGCATTAGCTCGTGGTGAGCCCTGTGCTAACTTTGGTCCAGTTTTTTTCAGTCTGTTTTATAACGTGTCCAAAAAGATTCACAGTTGCATTGGGGTTGCACACTAAGAATTTGCTACTTGCTTGTTGCTATTTTCCAACCTTTGCTGTTTTGTAACAACACGCTGCTTATCACAGTTGGCTTTGCACAAGGTTACTAAGAATGGAGGTGGGAGTGGGGAGGTCGTGTTTTCATTTTTGGGTGAAGCTGTTTGCTGATGATATGACAGCGTTCCTGGAATGCCATAGGAATGCTTATGGAAGAAGTGTTCAAAGTTGGAGTCAAATTAATAAAAGGCTATGAAGGGAGCTTTATAAGTTCCAGGCTTCTTTTTTATGTAACAAAACAGCAACAACAAACAAAACAAACTAGGGCAAAAAATTAAGCTGTCCCTTATTCAAGGCTTTCTTTGCACATAGGATTTTGCAAGTAAATGTTCCCTGTGGTCATTGTTGCAGGTTTGCTTAGAGCTGCGATAAAGATGGTAACAGTATTTTACTTTTTGGGGTTTTTTGTTTTTGTGGTGGGGGGGAAAAGGGTGGAGAGAGATGCTCTGTACTGGGATTTATAAGGTTGTAGCATGAAAAATGTAGTGACTGTTTTTATCTGCAAGTAAAAGGGGATGATTTGCAGCAGACTTCTAATTGGTTATCTGTAGAAAAAATTAGAAATGTTCCTTATTGGCTTATATGAACAAGGATAAGAGGCTGCTTATCTAGGCCATCCAAGACATTATACCTTTTCCTATTTTTGTATAATGCTTTATGCCAAATATTTAATTTTATTACAAATGTATTGCTTTGTGAAGTGTTATAGTGATGCTGTTACAAAATAACCATTCTCAGTGCTATGTAAATTGGAAGATGAAATTTGCTTAAAAAGAAGTCTGTTTTTAACCATACTAAAGGTAACATTTAATAATGTTGCATGTGTATGAGCATTACAATAAAAACTAAGAGCTCTTTGTGTAACCTCTCAAGTCATGAATCTCTAGGTGCCTTGAGGCAAATATATCATTATATCTACATCATCTTTCAGCCATCAGTCAACAAGTATCAGAAATACAAACTAATTTTATCTTCTCATAATTCTTCTGTTTCATATGGCATGGTTTTTAATCAGTATGAGTAAGGGTGACTTGAGGCAAAATGTCTTCCAAATAATGTTTTGGAAAGCGGAGACCTAGGACATTACTCTGTGCCATCTTGTTTTAGAAGTGTGTGTGTTTTTTTGTTGTTGTTGTTGTTTTTTGGGTTTTTTTTGTTTGTTTGTTTTGCAAAAACAGGAAGAGATCAAAAAAGTGTGTGGGGGGGGGGGGGGGAAGCAGAAGTAACTAAAAGTTTAGAAGTTTAGAGGTGTTAATATCTGTTTTACAGGGTCTCAGCCTATGAAATTAGAGAAACCCAGTGAGAAATAAACACCCTTGAGTGTAACTGTTATTTTTGTCATTTTTCAGGCCAAGGGAAAGCTTGAAGAGAGCAGTTCAAAACCTAAGCATGTGCTTAGTAACAGAGGAACCCAAACTGAAAGCAGTAAGCCTTCTGAAGGTATGTATCGCTTTGGGCATGCTACAGTCTTTGACTCTAGAGCGTGCTGCAGACCAACTAGAAACTGAATAGCCTGCTATTTTCCACTAAATGTATTATGGAGGAATTACTATGAATGAATTATTGAGAAAAAAGAGATGTTCTCCCCTTCTTTGTTATCTGTCTCCTAAATCAGCTCCCCAGTAAACCTTGAAGCTCATGAAATTAAAAGCAGCATCTTTGATTGGCTACACTATTTCCTTGTTTTGGTATTACAGTGATCTGAAACAAGAGAGCTGTACTGGTTTGCAGATACTGCCATACCTCTGAGGTATCTCCTAGCAGACAGTCCCCAAATTTTTGTCTTGATACAACTCAACAAGCACTTTAGTCCTCCTTTGGAATGGGGTATAATGACATTGCAAATGTTTTTGTTTTTTTTTTTTAATAAACAAGTTTAATTGCCACATCAGTGCTAGATTCCTCTTTAGGATCTAGCTGTCTGGACGTTACCATATCACGTCCGTTATTAATACTTGTGGAGTTCCAGTGGGGTGAATGTGAGTTGAACAGACCTGTTGTCTTCAGAAAATATCAGTGAGTCCTTTAAATTATGGACACTCCCTTTTTTAGTTTCATTTAGGAAGTGACAAAAATCTAGCAAACAGCTGGTCCCACTTATGAGTTGAAAGCTGCACAGGTTTATGAACTAATCTTGGTAGCCTCTGTATAGTGAACACTGAAAGAAATGAGAAATTCCTGTTAGTAATAGATACAATAATTATCCTGAGAGTGCTGGAGAACCTTCCCCTTTTGTGGAATGCAGGTAAGACTTTGATTAAGCCATGAGCATTAACAATGACTGACTGAAGCCTGGGTAAGGATTTTTAGTGGCTTTCAGTGGCTACTTTTTTCAGAAGTAGGTAACTGCTTAGGTTATTTTGAATGGGTGTGTTACTTTACTCCCTCTTTTTTGCCACTGTTTCTGCCAAGGATAGCTTATTAATGTTGTGTTTATTCAGATGCTAAAACTGTGAAAAAATTGGAGGAAAACAGTAGAGGATGCAAGAAGGTAAATGCTTCAATTGCTGTTGCCCACAAAGCTGACTCCAGACCCCAGGCTAAAGAGAGGACAGCACAGCAGAAAGCAGTAGAAGATACTGGAAAAGCATGGAGCTGTCATCAGCAAAAAGATTTTGATGTCAAAGCTTTGAATCAACGTAATGGTCTTCCCTTCATAAATCAAGATCATGTAGGCAACCAAGATGTTCCTGTTAAAGCTCACAATATGGGCAAATCCCCATGCTCCAATGAGTGTCACAAGCAGCTTTTTCATCAGAAACTCAAAGAGAATGAAAACAAACCTCTGTCACAGAGTATGGCATTGCAGGAAGCTGTGCCCTCCACGTCCCAGGCTCTATCTGACACAGCGTGTGAAGTGACACAAACCAGGTAATGACTTTGCTGGTAGTTTTCTATACGATCTGAAACCATTTGCGTGTTAAAAAAGAAAACAGATAATTCAAAGGAGTCGGCTCTTGCTTAGGCGTGCTCCAGGAGAAAAATGGCCGTGATAGGAAAGGTGCAGTGGGACCTTATAAACAGTTAAGGAAAAAACTCAAAGTATGAAGAACCTCTTGTAGTGTTTGTCTGAAGTTAGAGGGCTGGACATATGGGAGATTTGGTGTGATGGGTTACTGTGTACTAGAGGAATGTGACTGCCCTTCTGCATCTCAAATAGATGGACCTTTTTAAACCTCTCTTTTCCAACTTCTTTATTTCTGTAAACATGGGGCTGAAAGGAATTTGAAATACTTACTTGTCTATGATAAAACTGAAGTATTTGTTTCATTTTACGTCTTAAGTGGTCTTTAAGGCTTTTCTTATTTCATGCCTTGATTACCTAAAGATATGACCTGATTATTCATCTTTTTAATTCTAATAGTCTCATCTTTAGGTAAGTACTTTGTAACATGTCTTTAACAATCCTTTTCCTTTTGAATTCTTTATTCACAATTTGATTGTAATTATATTAAAAGCCAAAAACACAAAACTCTACCAAGCAAACCTCAACAGATGCCATTTCAGTGACAAATTTCAAGTGTCATGCCTTCTCTTTTGGGGGTGACAAATACATATGTGTAGGTATGAATGGTATATGCATTCACGTGTGCACAAGTATACATCTACATTACTGTGTCCCCCATTACACTATTAGTAGTGTTTATGTAGGTAATTCTGAAAGTAATGCCTCCTATTTATTTCCATGGAAACTACAACAGCTACAAGGAGCACAATAACACTATTTGATTGAACAAATTCCCGGCTTCAAAATGTTATTTTCTACATAGTCACCACAGTGAGCTATGTGTTTTTACCAGTGATTAATGATAGCCTGCATGCTGTTCTCCTTTAAAAACAAAAAACAACCCTGAACCTGCAGAGTTGACCAGTTGCCTTACTGTGCTGACTCCCTCTGTGTGCTCTCCATAAACATTCAGCAAGCATCAATGAATATCAGTGGGTGCCATTTTTCTACTTGGAGGAATTCAGTGACACACCTTTGCTTCATCTGCACTTCCGTATCAGATGCCTTTTTATGCTTCTACTGCTGTTCTACAGCCATATGTTGCACAGCAAAAAAAATCTAAGGGAACACTGGTGGAAAGGTTCATCCTCTACTATGTGCCACCAACATCTGCCTCTGGCATCATGAAACCAACATGATAAAAATGGGAGGCATTACCTTTGGAGCACCCCTAGTACAAATTAATGTCTGAAGCCCAGACAAGAATGTGACACTACTTCTGTGCGTGTGTGTTTTGATTTGAACTTTTCACCATTGTGGCCTCTTCTCCAACACTTAGGAACAAACTGTGTACAGCTCATAGACATTGATATCCCCAAATCTGTTGTTGTAATGGTATTAAGAAACAGGAGACCTCCCTGTGTTTTACCTCTGGCTCATGAGGCTTCAATAAGTGGAGCTGGGTCTGTGCTGCCTTGAAGGCTCCTGCACTGAGGCTGGCTCAGGTGTTTGTGAAGAAGCTGATGAACAGTTGCTGTTATCCCTATGGCATTTGGTGCTGATTAAACACGGTATGGCAGGAGTGAACTTGTATACAGAGAGCAGCTTTTTGGAACAGTTGAATGGTTTGGACAGAGGGGGTATGTGGGTGCCAAAGCGTGTGGTGTAGAGAGTTGGGAAGCCAACAGAAAACCAGAAGGCAGAACCTAGAGTAAATCCTGGGAGAAGACAATGTTTCTGAACAAGGTCCCTATTATGCTTATGTGTGAAGTCATGAGTATAATAAATGCATGCTACTTTTAATGAAGTCTGTAAGCCCATGCAGAAGTGTCAAAAGAACATTGTGTTCTCCTGTTTGGAGACATGCCCAAGAGTCCTCTTGAGTTCAGGCTTGTCTAGATAGCAGTGGAAGTGTTTGCTCAGAGCAGCGGTCAGTGCTCTGAATAGCTTACTCCTGGTGCAGTTTAAATCCATAGCACAAGGCAGCAGCTGTGAAAGGTGCTAAAACTGGGAAACTTCAGACTTCTGTTATGGAAAAGTGGAAACCATTTCTTTTGTATATTTTGTAATGAGGTAGCTCCTCTGAAAGAGGCATCAACTTCTGGGAAATGAGGGAAATATTTCAAGTTTTCTTGTAGCTGGAACACCAGGGAGAATAATATTAATGGGGTGGGAGAGTTATGAAAGTTACTTTTCTAACAGAAAGCTGTGGAAAGAATGCTATCCCATAAGGCACAAGCATGTTTGAATATGCAAGTCAGCCAGCTGGAGAGGACTGGGATGAATGCGAACACTGAGATTTGTAGAGCTGTATGAGCAGTCAGATGTTTGGATACTCAGCCTGTAACTGGCAAAGACAATCTCTACCACCTCTCTACCCATAGGAATGAGATCTTGTTAGTCCAACTGTAATAGCTGATAGAAGTTGGAAGAGCTTTCTGATGGTGGAGTTAAGTACTTTAGAGTTTGTGAGACATGTTCTGCTCAGGTGAGGCAGTCAAGGATGCAGGAAACTTATCTGCATGTTTTTCATTGCTTTCTCCGTAGCGTTGTTTTTCCTCAGAGGATTGGTATAATTACATTTCTTTAATACTATAGAAATCTGCATTTTAAGAAGTTTCTAAGTTTTCTTTCCATGTGAAGTTTTGAAAGAAAGTCTAGGTATCTATGTGAATTGTCAACTGCTTGCTCTGCAGGATAGCCATTGGTGTTCACATAGCTGAAGTGAAAGAAAAAAATGAGATGAGCAAAGAAGGGAACTCAAATGATCAGAGACATAAAAACCTCAAAGCAAAATCCCCATCCTCTTTATCATCAGAAGTGGAAAGATATAAACAGCTGCCTGGTAAATCCAAACTTGAACAGACTCCGAAGAATATCAGCACTGAATCAAATCAAGAAGTGAGAGAGAACAAGAAGCAAAATGAACTTGCACCAAAAACAGGGAAACAAAAGCCACTATTGAACAAGCCCAAGCCAAGTAAAAAAGCTGAAGACAAATCAGAATTAAAATGCAAGCCCATAGTTTCACAGAGTACCACTGCAACAGAGCCAAAGAAAGATCTGGGAATACACGTCAAAATCCATCAAGGAACAATAAAAGTAAAAGATGCCTTAGCAGTTACCAACTCTGACAGGAGAGAATCTGAGCCCTCCTCTTCAGTGGGAAGAGAGAATGATGTGGATCAGTGTGCAGGAACAGCAATGGAGAACACTAAGTCATTGGAAGCTAGCAAAGAACTTTCCACACAGGATGGGATGATCGTTGGTAAGCTGCTTGTATTTAATTTTGGAAACTTTTACACCGAGTTTGTGCTATCCATGTGTGTTGTATATAAACTAATAGCTGGAGTGGTGCGTGCTACACCACCTGGGTCTTACACTTAAGAGTATTTACCTAAACACCACAGAGAAGTTTAATGGTCAAAAACAAGAGAATTAACATTGGTATGGTTTATTTCAATAGTACTTTACCTTCTAAAAGGTGTTTTGCAGTAAAAATTTCCTTTCAGTAAAATTTAGTGGAATGTATATTTCTACCAAAGAAGTAATATTGACAAAATACAGTCCTTCAGATATAGCCTTTATTCTTTAAGGTAGAGTAAGTAAACTAGGTATGCTTCTGCAACTACAGAAAGAGAACAGCAGAATATTGCAGGATGAGTATCTTGCTTGGTCTTTGTGCTATTGGCCATAGGTGTCTTTTCAATTAGTGTGTGAACACCTATGTTCTTTCGGGCAATGGACGTGTAATTCCCAGAATGAACATATATGGGTAGATGTCCTGATCTGCATCTGATGCTTTCAACAGTGGTTGCAGGAAGATGAATTTGCATACGTGTTAAATTGCTCACCAAGATCTCTGGACTTGAATTGTAAAACTACTTCGAATGAGCAACACCACGAGCGGATTGTAGAAGCTTTATCGTAGAAGAACTTTAACATTAAGAATATAATAATTTAATTATTTAACTCCCAGGAACTGATTAAACTTAATCATTTAAGAGTTTACAGCTCTTACTAGAATGTTGCTAGTAAAACAAGGTGTTGCTGGTAGAAGCTTCCTGAATTAACTGATATCTGTGCTGATATCGTTGTGTATTCATGCTGGTTTTCCCAGGTAGCTTATCAAAATGAAAAGAACGTCAAGCATAATTTTTTTGAAACTTCCAGATATTTTTGTTGAATGGCCTCTTTTGTTAATGCATAAGGTCAGATGTTAACCTACCTCACTGGGATCTTTCAGCATTGCTGTGTTAAGAAGACAGTGTTGAGAGCTAGGAGGTGGGATCCCATCCTTGGTGATAGGCCTTTATCCATCATCTCTGGAAGGCTGCTAACAGTAGAAGTCTGTACTTGAAGCAGCAGAGAGATTTTGAATATTTTCAACATCTCCTTTACTACCATCTAGAAATTATCTTTTTTTTAAATCCGATTTAAGTTTTTTTTTCTTAATGAAAAAGCAAAGTGATTGTGCATGCTCAACTGATTTGCATTTAAAAATGAGAAGTTCCATTGCTTCTGGTATTTTATCTGCATTTCCCTCTAAAAATAGTGGGAAGAATTGCATGTTGAATGTTTGTAGATACTTCAGTGCTTGTCTGAATTCCAGTAGAAGGCAATTGAGACTTCTCATTATATCAAGCAAACAAAATGAAGTGATGTGCATGCCCTGTGGACTGAGAATGTTGGTGTGAGGAAGATGAAGCTGCAGTGATGAGGGAGAAATATCTCAATGACCAGGTTTTCTCCTCTTTAGATGACAGCCCTTCTCCCCCGGCTCCTTTTGAACATCGCATGGTGAGTGTCAAGCTAACAGATGTGACAACGTGCTACTCAGTGTGTCGTCATGAGGTCCTTGGAGGGTAAGTCTCTCTGCCCCCTTCTGCTGTACTGCAGGTGGTTGCTAATTGTGAAGAAGTGCAGCTAGCTCAGGAACTAGCAATCTTCTTCAGATGGCAACAAGATGTGTATAGGTGAGGCATGTGCAACCCTGCTGCAGCCAGAGCAGTTGCTTAGTGGATCAAAATGCTCAGCCCTCTCTCCCAGAAGCATGGGGAGTGATGAATACCAGCTTATTTCTTTAATTTACAGTTCTGTGTGGAGCAAAAGGGGATTCAAATGTATCTACTGTAACTATTTTCCATGTATCTTATGAATACTTTTCCCTCTATTTTGATAACATCACTTTCTCTACCATCCTTAGTCCTTCAAGCTTTGTAGAAGTTGGTTTCCTCTGAGAGAGCAAGAGGAGAGTAAATTTGGCTTACGATAGAGAAGCAAAGAGAGAGTATGCAGATAGCGTGTCAGATTGTTCATCTCTTTATCCTCCAGACTTCCTGGAGTCTATAGTTGCCCTTTTATGAACCTGTCTGTGGTGCACCTCTAAGTCCCTTAGGTTACTGGCTTCTGCCTCAGTTTGATTTTCAGGCTCCTGACTGTGATCTTGGACACTATTTGCATTTGCTGTCGTAATCTTGGCTACAGCTAGAGTCTTGAGAAAAATCCATAATCTCCAGTCAGATTCAGAGCATTTGAAGTCAGCAGAGCCTGTTAGGGGTCAGACAGCTTCCAAAATCTGTATTTCACACTGAATTTTGTGTTAAAGAAAACTAAGGGGAAAAAAATTATAATTATGTTGACTTCGCATTTAGTCTTGACTTGAGGAAAATCTACAGCTGCTTCAGCCTTTGTATTCTTGTATACTTATCTAACAAGAAGGTTTGATTTACAGACTAATCCAAATATGAATATAGCTTAAGTATAGGCCTGATGATGCAATAGTAGAGAAAATGATGTTTAGGAATCATCCCAAGGTGCATTATTGTATCTGGGTGACATGGGGGAGAATTTACACCATGTAAGAAATGTGGTTTGTGGAGTGGATACAGTTACTGGTGTTAGTCATTTTAAAAGTTATGAGATCAAGCCAGAAATATCCTTGTTAATATGCCCACTGACTGAAGGACGGCAAATGGGTACAGTTACAGAACTGAAAAAGAATATCATCAGGTCATCATACCACAGTGAAATGTAGTAATACGAAGGGGCATAATATTTTAATGTAAGCATTGAACAACTGGCTGGAAAGATAAAACTAATCCTTCGTAAGCTGAGAGAAAGAGGAGATTGATGCTGCTGGCCACCTGATTCTGTTCACTTTGTACTGGGCTATTTTTAATCAGTGATAAGAATAGTTTGAAAAAATTCTGCAGTAAGCTGTGTTATTTTCCTATCTTTCGTTTGGTATCAACAGGGGGCGTTTTGGGCAAGTTCATAAGTGCACAGAAGTCTCAACTGGTCTCAATTTGGCAGCCAAAATCATTAAAGTGAAAGGAGCAAAAGAAAAGGTAACTATGTTCCTGTGAACCTAAATGAGTGCATGCTGTAAACCATGTGAATTGCATTCATTTTAACACCACGTCACTGAACCTCCCTGTAGGAGTCAACTACTCATTGCATAGTACCAGATATTAGAACTTGTCTTTTAAAGTAGTAGCTTGGGCTTCATATAACTGTTGATCATTTCCAGTGTTTGTGATTAAGCCATTTGTTCACGTGAAACCTGTCATACAGTTGCTCCAGGGTTTAAAATTATTGTATTCAAATATAATGGAGTTTAAGGAGCATATTCACTCAATTTTTGTTCATTTGTTATTTTTTTTCAGGAGGAAGTAAAAAATGAAATTAACATTATGAACCAATTAAATCATGTGAATTTGATCCAGCTTTATGATGCCTTTGAAGCCAAAAATAATATAACTTTGATCATGGAATAGTAAGTTTAAATGATTTCAGTAACAGTTGGAATTTGGGGTTTGCTTTGGTCACTAAAAGAAAAGGAGAACAATAATTCTGAGGTATGAGAAAGACTTGAGTGGCTTTCCAGCCTATGAGAGTGGAAGCTACACATTTTAAAGGCAATATCTTCACGTTAAAAAATACATATTTAGCAAAATTGCAGATGCTAAGGAAGGTGGTTATCTTCAAGCATATGAAGCTAATTACAAGACTATTAATGAAAGAATTTTGCTATGGTTCATTTTTCATTTGAGTTTAACACTGAGGTGTTAACATTGTCCCTAGCTACCAAACTACATACAAGTATATGGGGTAAATAAAACCTCAGATAAGAAGTAAATGTGAGAATACAGAGTATGGAAATAACAAAAGGGAGGTTACTTAAAGTATGGCTGTTGGTTTTTGTTTTTTTTCAAACTGAGTTTCCATTACAAAATGAATTGTTGTTGATGTGAAAGAAAAAAGGACTCAAAATAGCAAATAAAAATGAGGCATTTTAAAATGTCTATATTCTACTCTTTCATTTAAATAATTGTAATTTTTACCCTGCAAAACCTTGTCAGATCTATGTGTCTGACGTAATGTTCTATTTTTTTGTGCAAAATTGGTTTCAGCTGTCAGCTCAAGTAATATGGCTTTCAGTTTTAGAAGTTGAACACATTGTATAGGTTGAAGAGTTAATTTCCCTAAGCTAACAGGAAGATAATAATAGATACTTTGTTACATTCTATAGGTTTTCCAGGTCCCCATTTTGTCTTCAAATTGTGTGGCTTTCAACTTAGGTTTTGATTCTCCCCAGCTGCTTCCTCCCAGATGTTAGCAATCCAGTGTGGAAGGCACTCTAGAATGATACTTAATTTCACACACAAAAATAAGTTTCTTAAAGACATTTAGTCTGCAGGTATGATACATGCTGGTTGTGTTGCTAGGATCTGTGCAAAATTAGAAACTAAGCTTCCAGTGTGGAAATAAATGAAGTTAATGAGGAATTCTGGTGTTTTAATGCCTATCTGTTAAAATTTTAGTCTGGATGGTGGTGAATTATTTGACCGGATCACAGATGAAAGCTACAATCTAACAGAGTTGGATGCAATCTTATTTACCAAACAAATCTGTGAAGGAGTCCATTACTTGCACCAGCATTATATTCTCCATTTAGATCTGAAGGTCAGTGATATCCATTAGTGATGTTGTGATTTACACCACTACAGGCTGTAATTGCAGTTATTTCTTATTTATTATTCTCATAAAGAAATAGACTTCCTTAATTCAATAGCCACAGTGAATGAAGTTCCAGAGATGACTTTTTTCAGCTTGCTTGCAATAACAGAATAATGTGTTTCTGGAATTATTTTTCTTTTTGCTGTTAAATCAGAAACTTTTCATTGTATGAAATTAAACAATGATCTTCTGTTCTTCTTCAAAAACAAAGAAAAGAAACCAACCCCAAAACATCTTTGGACAGAAATGCTTAGAAATGTTTCCAGTCTTCACTCTTCCTGCACTTATAACTGTATCCTAGCATCTTTTCCATCTTCTTCTTATTGTTTGTTCTTTTTACTGCCTGGATCTGAATTGTGTGATTCCTTAACTGATGTGGCTGAAAACAGACAGTATTTTTCTTGTTTGTACAATGCCTTACTCAAATGATACTAGACCTGGTTGGCCTACAGACAGCTCTGCAGTTCTGACTTAAGAAACTCACTCTCTTTAAAAACCAGTCACATTAGGGAAAAGATAACCCGGATATAAATGGAAAACAATAGCAAAATCAAAACAAAGGAAAATTTTTCTTCTGTTTTCGTGAACAAAACAAGGGTGCATTTGATGTTTCTTGTGAGTTCTGTGGAATCGCTTTCATAAATTCAGGGATAAACCATGACTATCAAACTGACTGTGTTGTTGTACAAGAAGCGGGTGCTTTTCATTTCAAAATCTATTTATATTCAGTACAGGAGTAGTCCTGTACTGAATATAAATAGATTTTGAAATGTTGTACTGGAGTGGAAGTTAAACTTCCTTACAGGAGATCCAAAACCAAACCTTTCGCTAACTTATTTGTCAGCCAAATCCTTATCTCTCCTAAGAAGAAGAGAAGGAAAAGAGTCATCCTAAGGATTCTCACTAAAATCTCGGAGATATTTTTCTTATTCTTACTAGATTTGTGTATCAGTCATATTTAACTGAAAATACTCTTGTCTTTTTGTAGCCTGAAAACATATTATGTGTAAATCACACAGGGAACCAGATAAAAATTATTGACTTTGGATTAGCGAGGAGGTAAGTGTTCTGTTATGAATTTATTTAAAAAAAAATCCCATTGAAATATGCTGCTGGTAGTTCTTATTATATTTTTTACGCATTTACTGGCTCTGAGGTGATTCTGATATGTGAATGAGCTAAATACTATGCTGCTGCAGGCATGAGTTCTGCTATGTCCATTAATTATCTAATTGCTTTTTCAAGTAGAGTTTCTGTTGAATAAAGATATACAGCTGTTCTGATTGTCTCAAAATGATTCCCCTTCTAAAGCTTTTACTCTAGGGACTCCATGAACACATCTCACGTGAAACATAAAGCCCTCAGAGAAATAGAGGTTTTTCACCATACTTTTACTTTGCTTGCTTGAGTTTGTTCAAGGAAACCTGTGGGAACATGAGTCAGATCCTCTAGAATTGAAAGAATTGACTCCTGTTGGTATAACTATAAAAACATTTCTTTATTTTTTTTTTCTAAACCCTTTGAGGATCTTGTTAAGCCAGGACCTGGTATATACTTACATATGTACATGTTGGCAAGTATATGCATCATATTCTGGTATCTATCTAAGAACTCTTGTTTTAGAAGTATTTTATGAAAACAGATGGATGCACTGAAACTAAACTATTTATGAAACGGAGGGTAAAGATGTAATTTTTTACTGAAGCAGAGTTTAAAACAAAATCTTCTAAGAAACTGAGATATAAAAGCAATTGTTTTCTGTCTGTGTACTTAGATGTAACTCCCATTGGCATCAGTGACTTGCTACTGGTTCAGTATCTGTACCCTTAATTTTTAAGCAATAAAATGGAATCATTTTCTCCCTATGCAGATCTGTGTTTCACATGTTACTAAGTCCAAATAATCCTCTTCAGAGAGTCCCACCTTTGCAGTTATGTTTTGCTCATATCTACTGTACAGACCTTTAACCTAAGATGTAGCTGAGCATAGGGAAGCAAATGCTCTCCAAACCTGTTTTAATGGAAACAGTTTTGTTTGTTTTATGTTGGACAACATCTGCTGGAAAGGTGGAACCTAGCAGAAGGCATAACTTCCCTCATTCCCTGATAGAGGTCTATGCAAGTTCTATTGCCCTTGGTCTTTTTTTCTGGTTTTACTCAGACAAGTGGATAACTGATTGTCTTATACCTTCAGTCACAGCAGAATTCACTTGTTTATTTTCAAGATCTTAAAAAAGACTTTTAATTAAGATCTTCAAGACCTTAATACTGTCCTTTTTGTCTTGGAGACTCTGCTATGCTAGCTTCTTTTTTTTTTTCTTTTTGTACCATGCTTTGATTTCTAGAGATGAGATATTTGTTTCCCCAGCCTGCTCTCAGCATTGATGTCTGTTTCTTTCTGTTAAAGGTACAAATCTCATGAAAAACTGAAGGTTAATTTTGGAACTCCAGAGTTCTTGGCTCCCGAAGTGGTGAACTACGACTTTGTTTCCTACCCAACAGACATGTGGAGCGTAGGTGTCATCACATATATGTTGTAAGTATGAGAGGTCACGGCAATGGCACCAAAGGCTCTATGAGAACAGAACAGTGGAGGGTGTCTGCAGTACAGGAGTGTGGCAGGCACTGAGCCCATCAGAATGGAACTCCTCCTAATTCATGCTGTTAAAAGCAAACAGTGAGCTGCAGACTCTTCATATGAAGGTACCTCACTGTTGGTGTTAAGTCTCTGAACAACAAATAGCCCTTTAGATAAATATGTAAATGTTCTTCTCCTTTACCCCACCTTATTTTGCAAGTTCAAGTGGATCATGTTGTGATTTCTTGGAAAAGTGGCCCAAGCATTTCAGAATTTCCATTTTTATTTGAGTCCTGAAGATTTAGATTAATTTTCAAATTTGCAGTCTGATTATTTTATTAGCTTGGACTTGGTCTGCATCTGCCCAGAGGAATTAATGTCAAGTGCTGGGCCACAGGTCATGTCACAAATGGGAGTAAAACTGTTCTCTGTTGAAGGCAGGGATGGCTGTGGAAGGCTCTGGTGAGCTGACTCAGCGTCTCAGAAGTTTTCACAGATGCTTTCTGTGAACGGAATAAATGGTTTAAACTTGTTGGCCAAAAAGTAACTGAATGAAATAATGAATTGTTGAAACAATAAATCTGAGACTAGAGGCTAATTGAAAACAATATGCTGTTCAGAAACCAGTGTAATTCGAGCCAAACTTGGTTATAAGCTTTGATTTAGGAAAGCTCTTGAGCCCTCCTAGCTTTTCTCATTGAGAAAACACTGAAATATGTACTGAGGCTCCTGCTGAATTTATTTTATTAGAGATCCATTAATGGTGTGCTCTGACATAGCTGAGTGAGCTGCTGAGCAGTAACATTAACAATACAGTTCTTGGCAGAGACTGACAGGTAAGACCCCCATGTCCAAGAACTCTTCCTCTTGAAAAATTAGCCAGATCTATAAAACAGAAGATTCAAGGGGGAAGAAATTCACTTTGCATATAACTGCTTATCTCCCACTTCACACTTTTTTTCTTTTTTTTAAGGCTTAGTGGCTTGTCCCCATTCCTGGGAGAAACTGATGCGGAGACAATGAATTATGTAGTCAATTGCAACTGGGATTTTGATGCAGAAGCTTTTGAACAGCTATCAGAGGAAGCAAAAGACTTTATTTCCAGACTACTTGTGAAAGAGAAGAGGTACCTCCTTCTCTGATCATGAGAACAGTGTAGCACCTAATAACATTTATTTCCTTCTAGCCCACTGTTTGAATTACAGTCAACAATGAGAACTTATTAAGTGATGTTTTCTTTTGCTGTTCTGTGCTTACTGGACAGTTCCTCAAGGCAGAAGAGAGGAAGTCTGGAAGGATTTGCTGTATAGAAATCTGTCTTTAATATTCCTTCTTTGCATAAAAGCTATTTCGTTTGTTACTTTGAATTCTTACAAGCCCTGTCATAAATTGTGTGTGGGGGGAAAGTTTCTTGAGTACTCAAAAAAAAAAAAAAAAGTTTCTTGAGAGGACAAATAGAAGCTGCAGCTGTGAAAATGTGCATAGTTTTCTTCTAAAGTGGTCTAAATGCATTTGGTAGATATTAAGAAGCATTTAGGGCTTAACTCTGCATGTGGTTTCTCATCTTGGGATGAAATAAAAAGTGATTGTATGTATGAAACAAAAGAATGAGAGTGACATTGATGTCAGAAAATGGCTATGGGGTTGGGGTAGGCTGGATAGAAAATAGTTTTCTCTTGCTGAGTGATAATACAAAACTAATCAAAACAGGAAATGATGCACACAGTAAAGCAGAGGGGAGTGTTCAAGGGGAATTTCAAGGAGTGCTTAGAATATTACCATCTTCCAGATCGTTACCTAAATCAAACAAATTGATTATAGTACTTAATTACATTTTGAGCCACAAGTCATAGGGTTTGTTTTTAAAAAAAATGCAAATTGAACTTTTAAAAAAATCTTGTCTCCCTGCCTCCCTCACAAGATTTTCTCTATTTCTCAAGGCTTTTGGATAGGAGCCATTGTTGAATGTCTGAGAATAATGTATACTTATCTGTATCTAAGTTTAGGGTGAATGGACTTTTGTGCTTTTTAAATACAAGGCACAGAATAAACCTGCACTCTCAGGACAGGTAAATGGCACCATGACAATTTTTCTTCATGCAGTGTTTCTCTCAGCAGTTCTTGATTTGCATAACAGAATTATACATAAGCTGATGAACCTGTACAGCTGCTTCTTCAAAACAAAATCCAAAAAAGGCAAAATAGAATATTTGAACACGGGACAGTCAACCCACTGTGTTGCACACCCTGCCAGCAGCTTTTCACACCACTCATTCCTTACGCTGGAGAGTGCAGGATGTTGTTAGGACTCCATGCACTGGAATGAATAGCATCTCAAGAAGCCTTTCCACTCACTTGTTTTGGTTTATTTAAGGCAAACATTTATGTAATCTGTATAGATTGAGGAGCCCAAGGTTCAGAGAAAATAGCAAGAGGGGTGGCTGTGCTTACATGGTACTTCTTTTTTTCTTGCAGCTGCCGGATGAGTGCAACACAGTGTCTGAAGCATGAGTGGTTAAACAATCTGCCTGCCAAAGCCAAGAGGTTCAAGCTTCGCCTGAAGTCCCAGTTGTTGCTGCAAAGTTACATAGCTCAGAGAAAATGGAAGGTAATTAGCCTGGAAAATCTACTTCCCATGGGGAAAATCAGCTCAACCCAGACAGGTCCTGCTTTTCTGAATGTTGGCTCATTTTTACTAATTATTATAAACATGAGATTAGGAATTCTTCAGTTTGTTATTTGAAGTTCTACATTTTTTTTTTCTTTACAAGTGTAGAGGCTTCAAATGCTATTTAGCTCAATTTTTTTTTTTCTTCTTATAATGGAGACATTTTTGCACTGACAACAGTTGGTGATGGGTTACAATGAAAGGCAGTTTTGTTTCCCACTGCAGAGAATGGAAGTCTGGGAGAGGAAAAAAAAATAGGCTTAAAGACATCAAGAAAAATTCTCAGAACCTTTCTGATAAGCCCGACACTATTCAGAAGTAAATTGTGAATAAAGAAGTGATAGATTCCACTTGTATCTATTGGTTTGTAAATAACTGATCCTGAAAGATGAACGTAGCCATCTTTTACAAATAAGCAACGGAGGAAATGCTAAGAAAACGCAGATCTATCTCCTTCTGTCCTGTCACTGGAGAGTTTTAATTCCTTACCAAGAAGTTGAATCTTATACCTTCTCAACTCTTTGACTTGAGCTGTTTCACTCTTATGCATTTGTGTTGTAAAAAACATGTCATCTAAGACATGACGCTGTAACTCATACTAGTGCAGTTCATGGTACCAGCTTTCTGTTCTGCAGTAATAGTGGTTTCTCAGTACAAAGATTGCATTACCTCCTGCTGGCAAGATTCCAGTATCATCTTTCAGGACTCTTAGAATTCAACTAGTGGCAGATAATTTTTTTGCTTTGCACTGGGCCCTGTATACCAAGGCCGAAGTGCTGCAGCCAGTGCGTGTTACATAGGTAACCATGCTGTATCCATAGGTAACCATGTTCCCTGCAGTGGAAAGACAAGTACTGAAAGCTGATCAGCCTTTCCTCAGGCTTTTCTTTGATTTTATTTGGCATTTCTATGAGGGAGGGGTGTCAGTTATCATAGTATATGAAACTAAGACTTTGGGAGTTGTAGAAAGACTGTTTCTTGCTTTAAGTTGAGCTGATTTACCTGAGGCTCAGACAGTGATTGTTTCCTGACCCTGTACTCAGTTTTCGCAGAATCACAGAATGGCTGATGTTGGCAGGTACCTTGTGTCCACCCCCCTTGCTCAAGCAAGACCACATCCAGGTGGCTTTTTAGTAACTTGAAGGACGGAGGCACCCTCTCTGTGCAACCTGTTCTATTCCTTAGTCATCCTTACGGTTGAAAAGGATTCCAGATGTTCAGATAGAACCTGCTGTTTCAATTTTTTGCCAACTGCCTCTTCTGTCAACACTGAAAAGAGCCTGGCTACATGCTTTTTGCACCTTTCCTTTGAATATTTATAGATATTGATAAGATTCTCTTGAGCTTTCTCTCTTCCAAGCAGAGCAGTCTCAGATCTCTCATCTTGTCCTCATAGGAGAGACTCCAGTCCCTTACTCATCTTATGGGCCATTTATTAGACTCTCGGGTTTTAGGTCTCTCCTGTAATGTGGAGCCCAGAACTGGACACAGTACTACAGCTGTGGCTTCACCAGTGTTGAGGATCACCTTCTTTGAGCTGCTCACATTAAACAATGCAACCTGGGACACCATTAGCTACCTTTATGGCAAGGGCATGCTGCTGACTCATGTTCAACTTAGCAACTTAACATGTTCAACCTCCATGAGGACTTTTAGGTAAATAGATTCTTTTTTTGCTGAAGGAAAATCTAGAAAGAGAAAGTCCTTTACCTCAGTTATACTCACACTTGGACCGCTCTGTTTTCTTCACAGAAACATTTTTATGTGGTGGCTGCTGCTAACAGACTGAAGAGATTTCAGAGTATGTCTGTCAAACTTGCATAAGGTTGTATGAAGCAACAACCATACTTGAAGATGGATGTGAAACCACAGGAGAAGAACTCAATACCTTCAATAATTTTAATCCCGTATATAATGTCAACTTTTGCATCTGTCTTTCTCATATATTGTGTGTTAGTGCTTAGTTACCTGAAATGTCTCAAAGCAGATGCACTGAAATAACTTAAGAAAACAATATACTTTGTTTTGTTCTTACAAGCTTTTAGTTGTACATAGTGATGAAAAAATAGTAAGTTAGTGGGGCTGACCTCTTCCTGAAGGCTTTATTCTGAAGATCATTTATGGTCTGTTTTTACCAGAAAAGACCAGCAGTTTTCTGGCTTCTCACACCAAGCATGGGATCTCTAAAGACTTTCTTCACAACTGGTGTGTACATAATCAGTTTTAGTGGACTGTCACAAGAATAGCACGATATTTTCCCTCAGGTTTGTTACTTAGGCAGGAAGATCAAACTTTTACATTTGTGAGAAGATAGGTGGAACTGCCAAAAGTAAAATTAGGCAGTGGCTGCTGGGTCACTCTGCAAATATCTCAATGTCCTGGAAAGATTTCCAGACACCTCCTTTCACGTTTTAAATGTGTAAATGCTTTTCATTGGATGTGACTGCAGCCCTTAGTATTGTAATTTTTATTTTGAGAATTTTTTGTCCTTTTCAACGATTTTAATGCATTTTATCTGGGAAGTTGATATGCAAAACACATTCTAATGCTGTTCAGCTTCAGAGAAATGGTGTATTGCCAGACTCTGCTTTTGGCTCAGCTGGAACATTGAAACCCTTTTTTTCCCAACTTGCTCTCAGACATGAGACTTTTTCTTCACAATGCTAACTGTTCATGATGTCTAAAGAATTGAAGCCACTTAAAATTTCTCAGCTAAAAGTGTAACATTATTTATTAGACCTGTGTTTTTTTTTCATTCCTGTTCTAGATTCTGTAGAGCTCAATGTAAGCTGAACAGGCTCTTTATTAGTGATACTTTCTGGTTTTCCTAAAACTAGCTTTTCAGTGAAGACATCTAGCTGCTGCCAAGCTCCCGTTAACTTTATAGATTTTCATCTCCCTTAAATTAGCAAAAGTGCTGGTTGCTAATAAAGAGGATTTTATGAATGCCTTACCTTAGCCCAGTTATCTTTTTTTCCACCATAGTGCTTCCCACTTATTCTATTCCCTGGATTCTGGACTGGTGCAGATTTTCCACTATCAAGGCAAAATTTTAATCAAAAATGATTAAAATCCAGTGAAGTAATCTTTACAATGTATCACCTTCTGTGAAGGCCCACTTTTGTTCATATTTTCCTTCCACAGTGGTTCTGCATGCTAAATGTGGTTATATTCTTTGGTCTGTATATTTCTGAACTAATACTAATAAATTACATTATAAAGGAACAGGCCCATTCCTCCATTTTGGTTTAAAAAACAAACATGAGAAAGCATCTTTGATCAGGTCTTACAGAATGTAAGATCTCACCCCTCTGCCACGTTTGATATTAATAGCAGATGTTTTGTTACAGCTCCTACTGGGAGTTCATTAACTAAAATTTTTCTTTGCATGCCATGCATTTGTTTGCAGTCCATTCCACAATAAAGTTGCTGTAATGTTTCAGGACTCTCATCAGGTATGAAATTGGCTTTTGCTATTTAAAGGTGACAAGAATTTATTTCTTTTTTATGCTTCAATTACACTGTGAGATGAAGTGAAAGGTAATTTGCTAGTAAGCTTCGTTTACCACTTACTGTGTAGTACTTCCTCTATTTTTGTAAGAGGGTAATACGTATAGCTGTTCTCTGCTGTCTTATTTCCTCTCCATCTACAGAGAGAGGATGCATCTGGCTTGCTATTTTGTTCTTAACAGAAATCTTTTCAGCTTCTATAGCCACGTAATTCTGCAGTACAGTGAAAACCATCTCTGTAGTCTCATGGGATATTTCATAATGTCCTGCATGGTCTACAAAAAGCTAAAAGAACACCCTACACATGGTCTGCAAGACACTGGAACAGTGAGTATGGAAAAACAAAATAACAGGTGGCCCCACAGGGTAATAGCTAAAGCTGGAATCAGCTGTCTGTATTCCTGATGTTATAAGCGTCACCCAGGTAAGCAAGGAACATGCTAAGCAGTGAGCTATTTGGCAGACCATTAAAAGACTACTGAGAAGCTCAAATGGGAACACTATTTCAAATCTAAGTGCCCAGACAGGAGTTATTTCCCTTTTCTTCATGCAAATAGCTCAGGAGTTTCTGGGTTGTTTTGAAACGATGATTTATAAATTTAACTTTTCATACAACTCAGACAGAAGATGAGAAATGGGCAGCAGAATTGGCTTGACTTTATTATAGCAATGCTAGTCCTGGACTGCTAAAAGTTGTGATTTTCTTTCCAACATAATTACTTTAAGTTGTAGTCTGAATAGGTGGGATGAAAGTATAGGATGACACAAGTTGCCTCTGAGACCTATGGGTCAGGGCACTCTTCAGTTGAAGCTTATGCTCCTGAGATACAACAAAAAGGTCTGTGTCCCAGCTTCACTAGGTTCTGAAATCCTTGTTCCCCGGATATCTTCCACAGATGGGTCCTCCTGTCTTACTTTGCCCTCCAAATGTTTTACATACGACAAACGTGCATAAAAATGCATATCTTAATGCAAAGCTTTTCCTTCTGGTATCTTTATTGTTGCTTGGAACAGCTGAGCCCCATTACATACACAAGAGATTTCAGTCCTACACAGGCATAAAAACTACAGTCAATTCAGTGAATAAGTGTTTGACAGTTTTAAAAATTGCTCAGTCTTTAATTCATCGTTGTTTTTGCTGTTTAACAAGGCACAGTTAGTCTCCTCCCACTTTTTCATTGTCTACTGCCAGCTAGAGGCACAAGGACACGTGACTTATAATTTATTCACATTTAACATCGTATTGGAGTGTCACCTGCTGCTTGTACCAAGAAAAATGAAGCTGTCCTACCACCTAATGCTACATTTGCTCAAGTACCAGCCTGACAAATAATTAAACATGCTTCTTCCAAAAATCACCTCAATTGTCATTTACTAAAAATAACATTTAAAAACTAGCTCAAAAAATAAAATTAGCTGAATACCAGCCAGTCATCACTTGTATGTGACAGGAATTGTTAAGAACAAAAGGACTGTTAACATTATGAGCAAGCAGTAGTGATATTACAAGGTGGCACTATAGAAACAGTACCACTATTTGTCTCTTGTGCCTTAGCAGCATTTTCCAGGATTCTCCTTTTCCATTCTTCATAGTCTTGCTTTGTTTCAGTCTTTGGCTGTTTACATGGAATCACATCATCATAATCTTCAGAATCTATGTTTTAAAAAAAAAAAAAAAAAAAGGGTAAGTCCATGGTGGGCCAGCACTAGCAATGTGTTGCTGGGAATAATCAGCCAGTGTACAGAGATCAGCCTATTCATGTACAGAGACCATTACTGCATTATCTCAACTCTGTGGTTTCCTCATTTGCCCCCCTCCCAAGATGGTCACCTTTTCACTTTTCTGGTTGAGTGTAAAAGTTAACTCTACTAGGACTACTCAATATAATAAGCATTGTCCTTTTGCTGCATTTAATTAATCCTTTTATTATAGCAGATTGCATAATGGTGTCAACCAATTCTTACTGCTTATTATACAACTAAAATACCACTAAGCAGCAACAAAACCCCAGACTACTCTGGTAATCTTAGTTCCCAGCTAAACAAAACTTACCTTCTTTCTCACACTGCTCCAGGTCAGTCTGCTGGGTTTCAGATGTCTCTGCAGCTAATGGAATATCATCTTCTAAAAAACAAACGAACAAAAAAGTGAAGTTAATTTACTTCTGAATAATGTGGGAGTCCCAATGATGTCATTCTACATTCAATTGTTCACAGCAGTGATGCCTTCCCCCAGTGTCCCCCCTCTGTGATGTATTCTTCCTTCCAGTTTGCTGCCTGTTGTGCTAGCATCGCTGCTTGTGCAGCCAGTTAGTGAATGGACTTAACTGACTCACCTGGCTGGAAAACAGCTCAGCAGGCAAGTGGTGTTTCCTTGTCAAAAAGCTCTCTGTTAAAGATTGATAGCCAAGCTGTACATGCAGAGGTGCCAGCACCCTGCAAAGGTTGCAAGGATTGGCTGGCTGCTTTACCTAGCACTGCTGCTGCACGTGTAACCATAATGATCAGCTATGTTCATACCAAAAAACACATTGCTCCCATTCTTGATTATTCACAAAGCATTCTCCATTAGTTATTCTCCTTTCTGTACCATTTCCACAACTGCATTGAATTACAAATACCCACAGCATGCTGTCTATTTATACCTAACCTGGAAAAGGAACTCCCATCTGCCTTGAAGCTGCTTTTGTGGTGGGATACTGGCAGCTCCATGCCTAGTGAGAGCAGCTTTTGGTTTAGATTCAGGCAGCACGCTCTAGAAAACATTGCGGTGTGAAATATGAAGATGAAGTGGAGGAGGAATACTGTCAGTAGGGGAGTGAGAATAAAAATCTGGGGAAGGAAAAAGGAGATAAATAAGAAGGAGCAAAGATACAAGGACAGGAAGGAATGTATATTTCAATCTTTGCCCTCTGCTAAAGAGTGGGGAGAGCATGAAGTTCAGCAGTAGGTGAGAAAGACTCTCATGTCTGCCTGCTGCGTGTGGAGGCATGGTGTCAGGTAATGGTTGAATTACTACTAGGAGATCAAGGCTTAGCTGTGTGTTAATCCTGCAGTAAAGGAAAGGAAAACACAGGAGCATCAATTAAAGCAACAGAGGTAGTAAAAGGTTTATGTTAATTTCCATATTATGTTGCTATGTTAAACAGGATGAAGAAAGCAGGCAAGGATGAATCGAAAACGCTTCAGTGGTATGGGAAAAAAGGGATAACTTTCAGCAGCAGAAAATGTAAAGAACGGTGAGCATTACGGAAGAGGATAGGTATTTTTGGCCTTGCCATGTTCTAAACTGTTGTGACTTTCCCAGAAGCAAGGGCTGCAAGTGGGAACAGGACTGAGGGAAACGCTGGAATGGTGGGCAGGTTTGGCTGAAAGGAAATAGTTGAAGTGACCAAAATGAAATCACCAGCAGAAATGAATGGGGACACTGTGAGACTAGATGATGGGTAAGCTGTACTATAAAGATAAGGTCAAAAACATACTGCTGAGTTGCTGGCTTATCTTTTCCATCTGACTGCACAGACGATCAAATATTGCTTTTTTCACTCCAGATACAGCCAACATCCTAGCCTTGTCCACTTTCAGCTTCAAACACCTGTAACAGAAAATTAATTTATCTCTCCAGCAAGAATCACTCAGCTGAGATGATATTTATTACTCCACCAACACTGCCTTTGGGAAGGAAGAGTCAAGATGGATCTGGAAGTAAAGCCCATGGTTAGCTCAAATTATGAGGGGAAATTCTATGAGGAAAAGATACTTCATAGGTTTCAAGGGAAGCAAGGCAAAATAGCACTCTTGTGAAGAACTGAATGGGACTGCAGTCAAAACATTTGTCAAGAGCTATGAAACTACACAACACCTGAATTGTTGATTGTTAAAAAGCATAATATTGAGAGGGATAATATGTACGTGCAAGCAAATTCTTCCCAATTGTTAAATGTGTCAGGCTCTCCTTTCGCCTATCTCCTGAGATGATGCTGGTCTAAAGCTGAGACAAATCAGATGTTAGAGCCTCAGGATGGGATGGTACAGGTGCTCGTAGGTAAGCTAGCAGCAGCCATTCTTTCATCTTGAGCAATATCTCACTAAGAGACATGCAGAACTTCTTGCTTTATGTCCAGCTCCAATCTACACTGACAAGAGAAGAAAGTTCTGGTTAAATCTGAAAATATTACTACTGTTATACTAGTTTAGTGGAGTTCTTCAGCTACTGTCAGGGATAATATGTCCAAATGGAATTATCTGCCTCATCAATCAGACACCAGGAAAGACAGATTTCATTTCTTCTAGGACAAGTAATTCAAGATCCTCTTCTGTATGTTTGACGTAATACTTGTGTTCCCCCCTGAAAGCAAATGCAATGCAGGCTGGAGATTTCCTTGTAAAAGGGTTCTTGTGTTAGAGATGTCTCCAATTCCAGGAGCAGAGATGCAGAATGCACTAGT